ACCTTCAAGTCTACTGGCATTTGCAACTGAAAACCCATTAAGCTGATAGAAGATTCCAGAATTGCAAGTGGTAAATGGTATTTCTAAAAATTAAATATAATGAGTTGCATGAAAAATAATCTTTCCTTTATGTCTACGAGACACTGAATAAGAACAAATTCCCTGTATGATTGCATGTAAGATATATGCATTCATAGTTAAGGGTATTTTCCCACTTAATTGCTGATCTATCAATAGATATAATTTAACAAATAAAAGAATTTCTGCATGACATTGTTACTTTGAAGGTTTGCACTTATTGTTGAATTTCTTTTCTTAAAATAATCACATTTCAAAGTGATTTTTAAATTGGTAGGGAGAAGAGAGGAAATCTGTTCTGTTAGAGTAATAGGTCATCTTTAAGAAAACATCATAGCATCATAAACAACTGCTATAAAAATCAGGATCTACTATATAAAATGATCTGTCATATCCATGTAGCAGCTTTATCATGCCAATGGCCTTTTATTAGGATTACAAGTTGACAATATATTACACAAAACTTAGTTTGAGACAACATGTAAAGATCAACATAATGTTTTACTATCTCAGTCCTTATATATCATTACTTTGCAGGTTAAAAAGTCAAAGGGAGGTGTCTGGTTTGAATCTGCTACTGATGTGATACATGGTGTATGGGGGGGCATAACCCAGAAATATTATCTCAGAAAGAAAGAAAACTCTGTTCTCAGAGAATAATAAGATGGCATTTCTGTATAATGACTCTAACTCCATCCAGAATGTACAATCAGGTAACACTAAGTATTCCTGGATTAACAAAAAGAATAGATTCAAATTAAAAACACTGTTACTGCTATGCTTTGACACCAGCAAAAACCACTACTTACAGGTTCTGAAACTGACAAGAGCAAGTGGCAATCAAATAAATAGCATGTATTTAGACAACCCTGGTAATAGTTCAGTGGGGACTTCTGCAAAAGAAATTATTATTTCAATGCCAAGTCACGCTTACAGCTTTGAACAAGTAGCAAAACATGGGCATGTTTCTAAAATGGATTTCCCAGCAGCTGCGCAAAAGCCGGAGGGGATGGCTTAGTGTTTTAAGCCTCAGATTTGAAATACCTAGACTCCCTGCAAACTACAGCGTTAAATCCTCTGTAGAACCACAGCTTCAAATGCTATCAGGAAAGACTCAACTCTCCATTCTTTAGAGACTGATAAATTGAAAGCCATGAACTTCAGGAGAAAAGGAGGGGGATTTATAGCTACCCACAACTACCACCCATCAACCTTGAACACACACACACATACACACACACACACACACACACACACACACACACACACACACACACACGAGATGACAGTATCTGTAGCAGCTTTTAAGGTTCCACTGGAGATTTTAGTCTTGGAAAGACTTAAGCATACTGAATTCAGAAATCTCCCAACTCTGGTAGGCACCAGCTTCATAAACATTAATACTAGCTTTCAGAAAACTCAAAGTGGACTGAAAATATTTGCAACTCCCATTTAATGCAGTCAAATTCTACATGCTCACTTTAAAGTGCATTCTACATATCCAGCCACCTGATGGGTATATCTGCATTCTATACAGACACTAATCGATAGATAGTTGGTAAATCCTAATTAAAATTAAAGCATATTACTTAATTATTAGCATGTTCTTCTAACTCTTACCTCATTCATTAAAGAAAGAGAGATCATTGCTATCACCGTATCATAGATGAGAAAAGCATACGTACCTCTGGAAGATTAGATGAGCTAGTCAGAGCTTCTATGGAGTTAACCATAATTTTAAAATATGTGTCTTGAGGCCTGAGATATTGTTACAAGAATATTTTCTTTATTGATACAGACATTTTACTAAGCATAACTAAGTGATGTATTCTAATCTTGAAGAAAGATAATCTTATAGCTAAATTTTAAAAATCAGTAGCACTATATATCTGTTACATATAATTAACTATTGAAATTAAAAAGTGGAGTAGATACTAAGAAAACTGTAGGCAATTTTTGCTAGTCTACTACACATCAGCACCTCAAAATCAAGCCAACCTCTCCAGTTACATTGAGACATGAAGAAGTATCAAATCTAAACTATTCTCCAAAGACTAGGTAAAAACAAGTGGTAGTCATACAAAAGGAAACCAACCATCTAAAATGGTTTGATGTCTTTAGGATGTAGCTGTAGTGCTTGTTCTGATTAGGCAAAGTGAGTTCCATGAGTACTACCAAGATGAGCACTACCGTAGATGTGCACTACAATGACTGAGCACTACAACGACTGAGCACTACAATGGCTGAGCACTACAATGAGCACTTCAATGAGCACTACAATGACTGAGCACTACAACGACTGAGCACTACAATGGCTGAGCACTTCAATGAGCACTTCAATGAGCACTACAATGACTGAGCACTACAACGGCTGAGCACTACAACGACTGAGCACTACAATGAGCACTACAATGACTGAGCACTTCAATGACTGAGCACTTCAATGAGCACTTCACTGAGCACTACAATGACTGAGCACTACAATGAGCACTTCAATGAGCACTACAACCACTGAGCACTACAATGACTGAGCACTACAATGACTGAGCACTTCAATGAGCACTTCAATGAGCACTACAACGACTGAGCACTACAATGACTGAGTACTGTGCTGACTACTACAAAGACCCCAAAGAGGAGAGGATAGATTCTTTTGAGACTGCATGTCATCTTAAGTCTCTCTTTATCTCTCTCTATCTCTCCTTCCTCCCTCCCTCCCTCCCTCCCTCCCTCCCTCCCTCCCTCCCTCCCTCCCTCCCTCTCTCTCTCTCTCTCTCTCTCTCTCTCTCTCTCTCTCTCTCTCTCTCTCTCATCAAGCCACAAGACCACAGGATTTTGAGTGCAAGTAAGGAGAGAATCTGGAGAAGAGAGTGGACACACCGTACTGGGAGATGTCAGCAGTGGGAAGAAGGCAGTCTAATACAGCTTGCTCACAAGATCCTGGGCTTTCCTTCCATCCTAGGGTAGGCCCCACACCTTGACTAGGCCAAGAAAGGAATTTGAGGACAAGCCGGCCTGAGCCAAGCTAGAGACATTATTAAGGACATTATACAATTCTAAAACATGGGTTAAGGTTTCTCTCTGAAGAATTGTGCTTGAGTGTTTTTACAATGAGTGTATGTGTGTCTGTGTCTGTGTCTGTCTGTCTGTCTGTGTGTGTGATCATGTGACAAACTTGCATTCCTTAACAGATACAATTTACAAGGTTTTAAGATGTAGAAAAACTTAAAATTTAAATAAAATTTCCTTCGAGTTCAGAGATTTGTTCAGCCAACTATGTGTATTTGGGGATGAGACAGGGGTGTCAATGCTGTAAAATCCAAGGTAACCCCAGTCTACTCTAAGGGAAGATTGTTTATCTGTCATTTTTAACACCCTTGTTTGAGCTGTCCTTAGGAAAAATAAAATTTTCTACACTAAAAGCTTTATCAGTTTTGAAGTTTCTTGACTCTTGGCAGAAAAGGCAAAGTAGATCCTAGAGGGGGGAGGGTTTTACCCCCTTCTCTTGTTCCCTTAAGTTTGCCTGTCTTGCCTCTGCAAGAGTCTGGGCCTTTTCAGCTGCAGGAATTCTATCACCTACAAATGAGCTGCAAGAACAGAGACCAATTTTCCATGTATTATATTTTATAATTTCTGAAGGCATGTCTCAGTTCTTTGAACTTATAAATAACAACCCAGGTGCTACGGAAAATTAATTCCAAAGACAATAAGTGTTTTCCTTGCTTTCTTATTCCGTTTCATCCATCTTTCCCATCTCCCCTAACATGAGCTTTATGCTCATTAGCACAGCACAAATAGTTTGGTCCTCCTCCAAAACCCCATAGAAGGATCATGTGTCATTTATTTTTAATTACACCTAACTTTTTAATAGCACCTCCCTGCCTGGGGATAATTCTAGGCTATCTTATGCTGTTTAAATTGCAGAGTCAGTTTCCATTCAATAAGAACCTTGAAGATTTTCTAAGCCTCACAACTCCCATCTACTTCATATTTTACCAGTCTGGATAGATTTATAGATGCTCTTTAAAATTATGTCTTCCTTTGGCTACATGGACAGGCACCCCAGAGTCCCAATGGAATTACTGGTCCATGCTCACACATCTGCGCAGCAACTGAATTATCAAAACGAGCAGCCGGTACCATGCAAGTAAAGCTCCCATTTCTCCTTTTATTCAAACATTTATTTAGTACTCAATGGTGCCAGGCATGAAGATAAAATAAAATATTTTCAGCAAAGAATAAAATTAGCCTTCTTGGCTGGAGGCGAGGACTCTGCACTTCAGTGGGCAATGGAAAGGGTAGGTTTCTATTTGCCCAGCGTGTCCTTTCCTTCCAGCTCAGGGATTTATAACAAAAGGACGTCCTACAAAAAGCTGTGGTGAAGAAATGATGTGCCCGGCATACCTCAAACGCGTCTGGCCCCAAGCAAAAGCACGTTGCCTAGATCCAGTGATTATTTTAAATTTTTGAGTAAGTCCGGGCTACGAATTAGGTTGGTCCGGCTTCCTACCTTTAATTTTCATGTAAGTTGGCAAATGTGAAACAGTCAAGTAGTATCTAACAGTCCTCTGAGGTTCCTAGTGCCGTGCCACTCAGGGTTGCTTAAGTTCACACTCTAAGAAGTCAATCCACCTTTAAATGCGAGCTAAGTGGTCTATGCTATACTTTAGTAAGGCACTAAAAGTTATGTGTGTATTAGCACATCAGCACAAAAAGAAACAGACAAACAAACCTAAAAAGAGCTCCTCAGAGATGACCAGTACAGAGCACCAGACTTCAAAAAAAAACAAAACAAACAAACAAAAAAAAAAACTAGGCAAAGAAGAAGAAAAAATCTCCAAGGGTCAGCAGAAGGCCTCATCTCGCGAGACTCGCGGACCGTTCGGGAGGAGACCAAAGAGAATCACGGGTTTAAGTGTCTGACTCGGCCGAGACCTTTCTCGCGCTGCTCCACTGACCTGGCTCGCGGCTAGCTGGGACTTTTCTGGCGCCGCCCAGCTATGGCGCGGAAGTCGAATGTGCTTTTGCTTCTCTTGCCGTTCCTGCTTGGCTTCCCCCTGGCGCAGGGCTCCAGCCGCCTACCCCTGGTCCTCAACACTTGGTCTTTTAAGAATGCTACGGAGGCAGGTGCGGAGCGGCGGCGGCCCGGGGTGGGTGGCCGCGCTGTGCGAGCTCCTCTACGGGAAGCTCTGCTGGGCCCGGGCCCTGCTGAAGTTAAGGGCGGGTGAGCCTTGCACACGGCCGGGTCTCCTTCCAGTCTTCCTCCTGCATCGCTCTGGCACCCGACCCTCTTTGTCCATCCTCTCTGCCACGGCTGCATGCTAGGTTCGGGTACATTTATTGCTCCCGCACCGTGCTGGCTGACCTCTCACACTCAGACTTCACTCCTCCAGGGTCCCCTGCCTGACTTTTGTGGCACTCGGCCTTATGCCATAATGTTCTCGGTGTCCCACACTCCACTTCGAAAGAATGCCTCCTGTTTTCCAGTACCCTCTGGATCCCGGTTTAGGAAACAATTGGTAATTTCCTGTGGACACATTTACATTTGACCCATGCCTGGCATGCCCTTGTCAGTTAGAATGACAGCTTCCAGCCTTGGTTATGCATTAAAATTACCCTTAGAGTTTCTTGGAGCTGTACCCTACAGCCCCCGACCCTGTCACATTTGAGACCGCTGTCACATTTAACATCTGTGAGTACAACTGGTTCCAGAACTCAGTGCAGGACAATTTGTATGAACAGGTATGAGAAAGTGGGAAATCAGACAGAGAAAAAGACCCCCAACAATAATGAAACAAATAAATAATAAGCATAGGAAGTCCAGCATCAAGTGTCGGGGACAGTTCTGTGTAAGTTGCCAGTATGGAACAGGGGCACTTCTAAAAACCAGCCTTCAATGAATTATACTGCTGGCCTTTCAAGACATACCCACTTAATGCACTGATGTCCACACAACACCCGAAAAAAAAAAGACTGCTTTTGAAATTGGGCCACCTCTGAAATATACTGTGTGGCCTGGCATGAATTGCTTCACATCTGTCCATTTCTCTTGGAAACGATAATTATAATTTGAGATGTATCTCAAAACTGCATGGAGATGAGATTTATTCGCACATGTGACATCGTTTGCTGTTGTAATATTGTGCTGAGACTCACTGTGACAAATGTTGTCAATGAAGTGTTAGTTACGCGTATTTTAGTAATCTAGTGAGTGGCATGGCTGTAATCCCAGCTCTCAGGATGCTATCTATGGTAGTAAGATTTAGACTTATAGACAAACTTAGGCTGTGCTGGGCTTGGGCTAGATAGCAAGACCCTATCTCACAAAACAAATGAAGAAATTTTAAGACTGTAATTGAAAATACTTTCCCATTCAACAGTCTCCAAATAGTTTCTCTTGTCCCTCTTAAAGATGACACGTTTGTTACAGAGAAGAAACAGTCACTGATGAGTTTTTGCTTTGTTCTGTTTTGGTTTTTCGAGACAGGGTTTCTCTGTATTGTTTTGGAGGCTGTCATGGAACTCACTCTGTAGACCAGGCTGGCCTTGAACTCACAGAGATCCGCCTGCCTCTGCCTCCCGAGTGCTGGGATTAAAGGCGTGCGCCACCAACGCCGGGCAAGGGATTATTTTTTCTTTCCCTTTAAGGTAATATTTATAGCTCACAGAAATGGAAAACACAACTTATGACCCCGACGTGATTTGAACACGCAACCTTCTGATCTGGCGCGCTACCATTGCGCCACAAGGCCCCTGTTGGTTTTCTGAGACAGGGTTTCTCTGTGTAGCTTTGTAGACCAGGCTGGCATCGAATTCACAGAGATCAGCCAGCCTCTGCCTGCACAAAGTGCTGGGATTAAATGTGTATGCAACCACCATCCAGCCCTAGTGATAAGTTTTGTAAATATTCACTTTACACTCAGAGCCAAGGTCTTTGAATTCTTCATAGTAACTAGTGATATGATATAAGTGATACAATGTTGTCGGTATTGTTCTAATTTCCTTGCAGCACTTTTGGACCATTTGATGAAATAACTTGTTAAAATTTCAGCCTCACAGTACAAATGTTAAAGGGGAAAAAAAACTTAAATAGGCATCCCCAAATGTTCTTGGCTGGTTGCATTTCACGTTGAAAAATTCATGTCTATAAATAAGCACTATTGGAATTTAACAGCGTGGCAGACATTAGCATCTGGAGGGTCTGCTGTGGATGCAGTTGAGAATGGCTGTGCTGTCTGTGAGACAGAGCAATGTGATGGCTCTGTAGGCTTTGGAGGAAACCCTGATGAACTTGGGGAGACCACCCTGGACGCCATGATCATGGATGGGTAAGACTGCTCTTTATGCTTTTGTGGTGGGCTTATGTATTAGTGTGGTCACTCTTTGTAGCACCTGTCTTTTCTAAACACAAAGAGTTAACAAAAGGAAGGAGGGAGGGAGGGAGGAAGGAAGGAAGGCCAAAATGTCATCCTGATTACATTATCACAGCAAAGTGGTTAAGTAGCTTTGACTGATGAGAACCCCGAAATACAAAACTGTGCCCCTGACCCAGTAATACCTGCCGCCTGCAAATGCTATGCTTTCAGTGATCTGAAGCCTGATGGGCTCTTTTAAAAGCCACATTTAAAATAAGGAGTTGAGATATTCAGTACATTGACTTTCTGTTGTTTAATTTTGTCTGTGGGGATCCGTGAACTTTTACGGGTTGTTTTCACGGCTGTGGTAAGATGGAGTTTAGCCTTCAACACGTTGCTGCTGAGAGAGATGCAATTTTTCTGTTCAAGCACCAAGAGAAAACGCCTTCGTAAATCTTCTGGCATTGTTGCCTTACAGCACCGCCATGGATGTGGGAGCAGTGGGCGACCTCAGGAGAATTAAAAACGCCATCGGAGTGGCACGGAAAATCCTGGAGCACACAACACACTCGCTTTTAGTAGGGGAGTCAGGTATTTCGAAAACTGCTTTTTGTCTATACACAGTGTAAGAAAAAAGAAAATAGAACTCAGCGTGAAGTAGAGATCAAAGAAGACCCGAGTTCAAATTACACCTGTTTTATTTCATCTCTGGTTAGCTGGATAGGTTACTTCTAAATCTTGTTTTGTCTTTAAGACTGCATTTTAAGCAATCCGTTGTTATCTGTCCATGGGTGATCGCTGCTAGTGACACAGGGTTCATCGTCATTTATCTTCATACATTGCATTTCTGCAGGTATAAGACCCAGGGGGTACTGCCGATATAAGACAGTAGTGCCAAAAAGAGATGGCTGTGTCACTTGAGTCCTTTCCAAGTTCCATTGGCTAGATCATAGAGCAGCCTATGATTTAAAAAATTATATCAGTGATATATTTATGAATCAACCTTGATAGGCTTGGGATAGAACAGCAGACTTTCTGAAAAGGATATGTTTTCGTCTTTGGAATCCATTTGTCTGTGGTTCTTCTCACCCAAGTTAGAGCAGTAGAATTCTCTGTAGATGGGAGATGTGTGCTAGGCAAGGCTGCAGTTTCTGCAGGGTAGAAGCCAGAGACGGTGGAATTGAGGCAGTAACAGAAATGGGCACATAGCCCAGAGGTCTCCAACAGGTCTGTGACAGAAAGGACACAGGGAAGCTGCAGATTCACAAATCAGTCCCTGTATGTCCAAAACTTCCTTTAAAAGCCCTGTGTGCCATCCTCCTCAGATGTCTTTCCATATTTCATGTGAGAGACAGCTGACCCAGAATGCCTCTAGTACATGATTTTGCTTTTCTCTTTCATCTCCAGCCACCAAGTTTGCTGAAAGTATGGGGTTTACCAGTGAGGATTTGTCTACCAACACCTCGAAAGCTCTTCATTCAAACTGGCTTGCTCAGAATTGCCAGCCAAATTATTGGAGAGTATGTATGCAAATTCAACTTTAAAAAGTAAATGGAAAAATGCTTAGTGATCCCTGGAGTTCATGACTCCTGCTCTCTGTCAATAGCTTGTAAACTCAAAGTTTGCTGTGAAGAAAGGAACAGATTCTAGCAACATGGCTTCACTTGTATTTCCTTGGAACAAAATCCAAAATGTTTCTTAGATATTATCCATTTGAAGCATATGCAGATTGTGCCCATATATTGAATAGAAGACTTAAAGTAAGTCTAGTTTGTCACTAGTGGGATCAGCGTTCTTTATAGGAATTTTACCATAAATCAGCTTGCTTTTGCCACACAGATTTCTTTTCTGTAACATCTTAGTCTCTAATCTGTTTCTTCCTTAGGTCCTAATTATCAAAGTCCTCAGGATTTAGCTCAAAAGAATAAATTCTTCATAAGACAGCTAAAGTGCTAACGTTAGAAGGTATGAGTAGGATGAGCAACCCTAACTGAAAATCTGAAGTCCAGAACACTTCCAGCACCAACACGATGCCAAAGTAGATGTTCAAAAGGCCGTGCTACTTCATATGATGCATTCCCTTCCAAGAACAAATGCATCGAAGTCTATACTGGTATCTTCGACTAATCATATAGATGGACATAAACAAGAGGGGAATTTTGTACTTCACCCTCAGTCCATCCGTAAGATAGTTTCAAGAACGTGTAAAAATTCCAAAATCTGAAAAATATGCAAAACACTTCTGGTCTTAAATATTTCAGATAAGGGTTACTCAGCCTGTAGTAAGTTCGTAGCTAATACCATTCTGTTCAGATAACCTAAATTTATTGGTATATTCCTTTACCTTTAGTATTTAAAGGAATCTTAGGCTTTCACTTAGAATAGCTGCAGCTAGAGGGGTCCAGTCCATGGTTTGCGGGGTTCATGAAGCTGAAGCGAACTGAAGATGAGTGATGTGTAACACAATCTCATGAAATACTTAAAACATGACATTTTGTGCAGCACTGTTGTGTTTTACGACTTGAGAGAGCAGTTCTAAAGTGTGAATGTTGTAGCTGACAATGTCTTGTCTCTGTGTCAAAGTTGGACACCTTATAAACCTAGATTAAAAATAAAGGTTTTTAAAGCGTGTCTTGCTTGAAATCTCAGAATTTGTCATCTGAGAACCATGTTGTGACAGGTAAAGGTTTCTGTGAGATTAATATATATTTAGCAGTAAGTCTTTATGTCTGCTGTTACTCTGAAGATAGTACACATATAAAAGTGGCATCCATTGACTTGTTCTTTGCCATGTATCCATCTAATCTATATTATGCAATTTTGAGAATTACCAGTTTTCACTTCAGATTAAGTTCACGTTTGAGCTCTAAGTTACTGATGTCTTTGTGGTTTCTCACCAGTGATTGTCAGTTGTACACAATTTTTTGCCAGTTCCCAAAACACCCTTTTTAACCAAAAACCTTGAATCTTGTTTATAGAAAGTTATACCAGATCCTTCAAAATACTGTGGACCCTATAAACCACCTGATGTCTTGAAGCAGGGTACTTCTGCCTACAAAGAAGTGGATATCCATGGTCATGATACTATTGGTAATACACTTTTTATACAACTTTACTTATTATTTTAATGACCTTCTATAGCTCATATTCATGTACCAGAAGTTAGCCAGCTTTCATTACTTAAAATGCTAAGTAAAGATCCCCTTCTCTTGTGTTTTTTCTCTCACGATGTGTACATGTACATATAGACATATGTAATGAGCTTAAACACATACAAATTCATGTTTTTATTACATAAATAAATATAATTCTATCATAGCATCTATATATAGTTTTGTAATTACTTATAACAAATATCAGTGACTACCAACATGTAGATTATCAAGTTGTTACTATGTAATGCTTTGGTTATTTCATGTAATTTGCTATATATATAAAATGACTTGTAATAATTTTTCTGAGCTATCATATTGACAAGTTCTCTTAATCAAAATGAATGATTGGGGAGGATTGCCTTTGAAAAGGTACTGAAAGCACGTGGTAGATTTGAAGAGTAAGAATATGAGATCTTTTTTTGTTGGTGTTGTTCAATGATACTATGAAGCCAAGTCATTAACATAGTATAATATCACTGATACAGTTTTCAATATTCTTATTTTTTCTTTTATTCAACCTGTAATTAATGAGAGAACATACTTTATTTTCTCAATGGAGTTGGTATGTAAAGACACAGTACCATAGACTTAATGGATTATAAACAACAGACATTTCTCACAGTTGTAGCTAGGGATAAAGCCAGGATGTAGACACTGGTAAATTCCTTGTGTGTTTAGGTCCCATTTCCTGGCTCATAGGTGGCATATCTAGTTTTCTCGGGCCTCTTGCATTAATCATTACACTCATGTAATCATTACACTCATAGGTGGCATGTCTAGTTTCCTCAGTCTCTTTTGTATTAATCACTCATTAATCATCCCACCTGCCCATGGTGCCCTCCAAAATCCATCACTTTGTGAAGATATATATTAGAAGGGACACAGTCCCTCAAACTACTACAATCATCAGCTGATCCATTATTTGGCTATATTTAAAGGAAGCATTAGGCGTTAATGATAAAGCATGAGGGGAACCTTGGAGGATTCCATGGTAAGTGAGGGTGACCGAGGTAGAGGGACAAACTGCCAGGCAGACAGATTAGTGAGAAATTTTATTAGAAAGGGAGGGAAGGGGGAAGGGAAGAGAAAAGAGGTAAAGAGACACAGAGAGAGGACAGAAGAGAAGAGGGAGACAGGAAAAGTCCTGTCTGCCCCAGGGGAACAGCAGGAAAAAGAGACAGAAAGAGATTGTAAGAGGGTGAGGTCTTTCTTTTAAAGGGGTCCTTTGCACCTGCGTGCAGACTATGCAACCACGGGACCCTGAGCTGACCAGGGTACTGCCAGAGTACATTCTGCCAGGTGACAGGGGCAGGCTAGCAAAATGCCTGAATCCTTACATTGGGTACTTACATCTTTTTTTTTAAACCTCTAGGCATGGTTGTAATCGATAAGCTGAGACATACTGCTGCAGGCACATCCACAAATGGTTTAAAATTCAAAATACCTGGGTTAGTATTTCACCAAGAACGGATTTCTCAAATATGTATCACGTGTAAAGCAATGTATTCCCAGGGTGCCAAATATAAAAGGAGACCCTTACCTCACAGATACATGTGAAAGAAAGCATTTTACCAATGTGTTAATGGCCAGAGCAAGCACCACAGCCAGAGTTCAGCAGTGGCAGGGGTTAATCTGGCACCTGAGTAGTTAGTGATGCCAGTGGAGTGGTAAGTAGAGACTGAGACCTGAAGACACAGGACTAAAGGGCGCGTGTGTATTCAAGTAGCTCTCTTCGGGTCGAGGACTTCTCTGGCTGGAACAGAAGTTGGAGTGTGCGCTTGTGTGTGTGTGTGTGTGTGTGTGTGTGTGTGTGTGTGTGTGTGTGTGTGTGTGTGTGCGCGCGCGTGTGTGTGTGCGTGCATGCGTGGACGGAGTAGTATGTGGCAGTAGTGAAGATTAAGACTACAAGTCACCGAAGCCTGATTTCAAGGCCTTGGCTTGAGGAGTTGTAGGTTTGTGTGGATTTGTTGTTCTTGTTGTTACTTTGTTTTTAAGTAGAAAACAGGCGTTAAATAGGTTTATTAAAGGGGGAAACTGGTGTAAGCAGTGTAAGAAAATAATTCAGAATGGTTCAAGTATTGCAGAAATTGCGAAAGGTGTAATAATAGGACAGTCACTGTAAATCCAGGTGATCTGATATGACAAACTGATGACAAGTTTGTTTGATAAATAAAAATATGTAGTTATTGGAGTACAGCATGATATTTTCATAGATATAAAAGTGAAATAGTTAAACCAGGCTATTTATGCGTTGTCTCTCATGCTTTTCAAAATCTATGTTTTACATATAAAATGTATTATTACTAAATGTAGTGTGCTATGTACAGCAGATCTCCAGAATTTACTCTGCTGTTTTAAAATAAAGTCCTTTTCTGCCAACCAACATCTCCCCAACCACCCTCTCTCTACTATTGGGAAACCAATATTTTAATCTGTTTCTATTAATTCAGTTTCGTTGCACTGCACATTTATCTGAAAACAGTCATATAATTAATATAGCTGTTTGAAAACTGTAATTGAAAAACAAACAAAAATGCCATCTAGTGAAGAATTTACTTAAAACAGTAGTCAATGGTGGTTGGAAACAGCCCCTAATTTTGAAATAATTCTAACCATGATTTAGTTTACATTTGGTTTCCTATTCTAAAGTCTTATGTTCTCTGTGCACGAAGTCGTGTAGGAGATTCACCAATACCTGGATCTGGGGCCTACGCTGATGACATGGCTGGGGCAGCTGCAGCCACAGGGGATGGTGACATACTACTGCGCTTTCTGCCAAGGTATGACTTCCTACCTTTGTAAATTGTAGAGATCCTTAGAAGACACAGGAATGTCAGCCACAGATGATTTTGGTAGTGTGTTGTCTGAATTCGTGTGCACGAGAGTCTTGCATGAAACTGTATGTAGTAAAATTTTTTGGGTTTGGGGTCGTTATTGTTTTGCCAGTTAGTTTGTGATCATTGCCTTGAGTCGTCATTATCTCGGGAAATGAAATGTGTCTCTCCATGCTTCACAGAGGAAAATGCCTACTGTCCGTTTAATTAATTGATGCAAGGACATAGTGCAGTGACTGAGAAAAGTAGACAATATAGTCCCTGCAGTCAGTTGATAACTACAACTGTGTGTTTGGAACATGTGCAGTGTTTTCTCCTGAGATTATAGCTCCTTTCCTCGTGCAAATATAACCTTTATTTGTGACTTCTGGTTCTTATTACTAAAGTGACAGTTATTCCGCCAAGGCCCAAAATAATAGTCCTCATCTGAAATTAATGGTGGATGAGTTGAATAGATGACATTGTAGCAGGGTTTGCTTGCCCTGATAGGAATTACAAGCCTGTGACAGGAATTACTGACTCATGTTCATTCATAGGTATTATGCTAAATGTGACAGTATGGTCGTTTCAGATTTTCTCATGTCAACTTAGCCTAATGTGGAGTTAGTGTTTATTCTGTGCTCTGATATTAAGCTGTCACCTCCATCTAAATTAGCTACCAAGCTGTAGAATATATGAGAAAAGGAGACGACCCAACCATAGCTTGCCAAAAAGTGATTTCAAGAATGAAGAAGTATTTTCCAGAATTCTTTGGGGCTGTTATATGTGCCAATGTGACTGGAAGTTATGGTAAGTTAGAGCTGTGTTTTATTTGTGAGAATTTATTGGTGATTATAAAAGACAGACACTTCTGAATACCTGAGCATGTGATGTGTTGTGTTCTATCTAAACAGGGAGTCCGTAAAGTAGGTTCTGAGTGAATGTCAGTGATGAGCTGTCAATACTGTAAAATGTGAAGATATATACTTAAAAACCCTGCTTTATTTGACTGCTGGAAGTCATGCTTTACTTTTGGGCTATCAGTTCTTTTGCATCTGCCCTAAAGTTTTGCTTCGGCTGGAACACATGTTGACAGCTAATTTAGTCAAATGCCCTGATTAGAGATGGTAGGGACAAGTTAATGCCCTTTACTTCTTTCTCATTCATTGAAACATTTCAATCATTTCGGTCCTCTTAGCTCTGAGGAAGAAAAGCTTTTCCTAGTGTATAAGCCAGATAGGCAGGCAGAATTATTGTGGCAGTGCTTGGCATGTCTTCTTTCTGTTTGCTTTCCTTGTGAGCCAATCACAGCTACGCAACATTTAAGGTCAACCACTGCTGACTCTCATCACTGCGCTTTCAGATGGAGAATCTGCGCAGCTTCCGATCAATAGAGCTTATTAGGTTAGACTGCTCATTGCTGTTCTTTGATCTTGTGCTTCCCACACGTTTGTATTTGAAGAGCTCGTGTGAAGAATTCCGTATTCCTTTTTAAGTTGTCAGATTTAAGAGTCAAAGCAAGTTATGGGAGTTGCTGTGTGTATGAAATAAGGCACTTTCTAATGATTACCTCTTAACGGATAAGCCATAGAAGGTCCACATTTACATTTAGCAGGGTGGGAGGATGCTAATTATCTTACTCTATGAATTAAAAATTGACTATTTCCTAATAACACCATGGTAGAAGGACCTCTCCCCCTGCAGGTGTGTGACGAGAACTAAACTTAGAAAGCATACTGACTAAAGGCTCTTCTTGCTTTCTGTGAGAGTGAACGAGCAGAGAGGAGGGGAAGCAGTCGTGTAGGAAGGGTTTATAGATAAGAGATTGTTCTAGTTGCTAGAGAAATAGAATTTTGATAATTTCTTCTACGAAAGGATTGAAAGAGTAGAATAATCAAGTGACAGCAACTGTATAGGGGTGGGAGGAAAATCAGCTAGTTGTCTGCTTTTCAAGGGGGTGAGGTAAGGGCTGGAGAAATGGCTTGGAAAGTAAAAGCACTTGTTCTTGCATAGGATCCTGGTTGGTTCCCAGCACCCACAAGGTATCTGTACTCCAGTTTCATGGTGTCTGTGTTCTTCTGACCTCTTTGACACCCGACACATACATGCAGGCAAATACACGCATATAGTAAATTTTTAAAGACTTTATTACCATCTTATCTCCTCCTCTTCTGTGATCACTAACTACCACTATGGGCAACATGTAGATTATGTATGTAGATAGATTATGTTGATGTAGCCATGCAACAACCAATGTCTAGGCAGATGACGTCTTTATTGGTTCTGGATACATGCCTCCAGTAATACTTAACTGTCTCTTTTTTTTTTGGCTCAAGGTGCTGCTTGCAACAAACTTCCAACATTTACCCAATTTAGTTTCATGGTTTATAATTCTCTACAAAATCAGCCAACTACAGAAAAAGTAGACTGCATCTAATCTACCTTGCCTGTTAGCATGTGTATCTTGAGAGGAGAGAAACTAAGGCCGGGAAAGTTGCTGATTGACATCATGTAGTGGTCTTCATGTATTTCAAGTTCCTGTGTAAGTTAGCTACAAAAATAAATTATGCTGCAGTGACATTTCTGTATCTACATTTGTATTTAATTATTTTTGTTTAAGGTCTGTTTCCCACTGGAGAATGAATATGCATGAATATATGTTGTATATTTTTAAGCTTTAAATGATACTTGAATTTCTAATCAGTGTGGCAAGAAATGTCTACACTTGGGATATGTTTTCACAATCCCACTGTAAATACAGTATGTGTATTTGAGTACTCAGAGTATTCAAGCATGCCAGGTCCTGGGGACATAATAACACTACTTTAGCAGAGTCAACCTAACTGAATCTCTGAAGTTACAGTGATGTCCCTTACCACTGACCATTAGGTGGTAAGCTCAAAGTAGGAGTAGTGCTGTTCAAATATATGACTTTTGTTATTTATATTTATATGATGAGCATTATTTGGTTTTCTTTGGATTTCTCTTTGATGGAACATTCAGTAGATGAAAGTTATTAATCCATTGATATCACTGATCTTTGGGCAATTAATATTCATTATTGATCATTTCTTTTGAAAATCACTTAGGGAATTCTTTTGTGTAATTTTACTAATCTCTTGTGCTGAGGTAGGGGTTGCAGTTAGAAAATGTCAGTAATTGTGCTGTCTAGCTTGGCATTTCTTCTGAATTTCCATATCAAATATCTATGAATGACAATTACAGAGACATTGAATGTCTTAATTTCTCAAGATTATTATTTACTCCAAAATCACCATTGCTGTAGTCTGTAGGCATTAATAAGATGTATTGTATTGTTGTCAAACCTTACTACTGTTTTGTTTTTAATATACACAGCTTGATATTTACTATTTGTTACCTCTAGAGAATATTTCATATTATTTATTCTCCTACCATCTTGCCTACCACAATTATTTAGGAAGCCATGTTCAAAATAGCCTCTACCAGCACAGAATTTGGTGGGCTTAAATTTGAACCCAGTTTATAAGAATGTTTCAACTACATTTTAGCCCAGTTTAGTAACAATACTTTCATAAAGGAAGTGTTTGATGTCAGAAAAGGGAAAAACCTAGATTATTTCCCCCACAGGATTCAGGTGAACGCTACTCAAGTGTTTTATATGTCCAATATAGTACTAACTGCTAACCTCAGTCTGTCATAAAAGTTTTGATAAGTTACATTTTATTTATTTGCATTGACTCATGCTGGGATAATTTTTATATTATTTCACTAATGACTTCTTACAGGTCGATTCTTCTATCTGCTAGCCACAGTTTGACTTAGTCCCTATGAGTCCTGTCCACAGAATGTTAGCAGTCCCACTTCCCCTGTAAGTTGTGGTTTTACTCCTGTACCCTCTGATTTGCTGCAAGGGAGTTCTGGTTCTGGCAATGAGTTTTAAGTGAACTTGCAATGGGAGACCTTCCCAGATCCTTTTGTATTTTGTCAAGCATGACAGCATACTGATTGCTGCTCTCAACTACCTGTGTCCTTGAAAACCATAATGAATAGACATCCGTGACGGTACCCAGGGAACATAAATTATGGTCCAGTACAGACTATCCTGACTAAGACATAAAACACACCAATCAGTTAAGGAATTTTGTGGACATTACTAAAATAATGAGACTATTCAAAGCCTCAAAATGATTTTTTTCCTGGTTAGACAAAGATACCTAAGAAAGTGTTGATTAAAAAAATGATTTAAAAAATGTTTTTAAATTATTGGAGCAGTTGCAGATGTTTTCCTAAGGGATATTTCATTAAAAAAAGAAGAAGAAAAAGAAGCCTGTATTCAGTGATTCCTCACCATGTGGCAAAAACGAAACATTCACACCTGCATGGTACTGTGTTCAAGGGTGTTTCTATAGCAAAATTCTTACAAGACTAAGATGTCTCCCTCCTTCGAGAGGGCATATTTGTTTGTGTCTGCTACCACATTGTTTCTCTGCGAAACAAACAACAGGTGGGTTTGTTTGCAGCCCCTAATAAAAGATTGAGATTTCCTAAAACTGTTCATGTGTGATGCTTACACTGGGAAGATCTTTCTGGAATAAGCATTCCGACACCAAAGCCAGGCTAGTTCCCAAAAGCCTCCATCCAAGGTCCTGTTTATATCTCATTTTATACTCTAAAACTACCAGGAGGGGTGGGTAAGCAAGACCCTTGTCTCTGACATGTCTTTCATGGTTTCTGTCAGCTTTGTAGGCAGTGTAACAGGCTGACTTGTTTGTGGGTGAGATTGTTAATTGTAACTAACTTATTTAGGTTGAGGAGAACCAGGAGATAATGAAAATAATCCTTATTTAAGAAGCCCATCTAAATTATCTAAATGGTAACTAAAGAAAATATTCAGATAGTGACTTAACAGGTGACACAGAATACTTCACACTAAATATTAGGTATTTCATGTAATTCATATTTTCTCCTTTTTCAGAATATTGTTAGTAGAGCTTGACTTATTGTACTGACTCTTATTAGAAATATACATTCATACTATAAGTACAAAAATATCTACTTTCAATATCAACACTCAATTTATTCCTTTTAACTTTAGAGGAGAAATTGTAGGTACAGTGTTGCCGCGCCGGCTGCACAGCCTGTGTCCGAGAATGTGCGGAGGGTGTCGGGGATTGACAACACAGACCAGAAGGCTCCTCAAGAAGGTTCCCTTTATTCCTACTCTGGCTGGTTATTATGTACCCTGACACCAGAGGTGGATGTGGGTGGGTCTGAGGAGGCGGTTAGTCTTTGGAAAAGATCGAGGACAGGGCAGTTCCCATTGGCTAGCCCTTTTCAGGAACTTATTGCCCCGGGCATTGTATTGTTTTTAGTAAACATGTTTTTAGTAAACATTGTCTTACAGCTGCCTACTCCCAGGCTGATGGGGAAGTGGGTCTCTGAACAAGGTCTGGTGTCCCCACACAGTGTTTTTAGTAGATATTTTGTACACAGGCAATATACTTTCAAAGCCCATAATTTTAAATTGCTTAACTTCTTTTTCAAATGTCATGAGTTCTGATGTTCAGTGATTGAATTTAGACCTAAGGACCCAATTAAGCTCACCTTATACCTTTAATAGTATAATTAAAATTGATTGGAATATATCTATTGGTACCATATCTCTTAATTGGATAGCAATTCTAAAAATAACACATTTATGCCATTTTGCTCATCAATTTTTGGTTAAGATCTAAGCTTCTTGTTTTTTTGCTTGAGTAATAAATGTGTCACATATTATACAGTAGGTTTTCAACTATCTTACACAATTAAAAGATTAGGTGATAAGGTCCTCAAAAGTATAGATTGTGGTTAATAAGTGTCCTATGATAAGTGTTTTCTTATATAACCTAGGGTCAGTCTTTTTTTTTTAAGGCATATTTTAGGACTGAGAAAATCACGTCTACTTAAAGGATAAAAAATGACCACATTTAGGATGGATATATGGAAATTGCTGCTGCTATGTTCAACCTATTTGCCTCTGAGTTAAAGGAAAGGAAGTTATTTATGGTTCCAGTGCATGGATACTGCATTAAGAATTGGTCATTTGATTTAAACTTAAGACCTTTCCGAGTGACGCATTAGATGTGTTTGTTCATTTATTTTCTCTAATTAAAATCTTATTTCTATAATGTGAATGGTGACATATAATATTTTTAAGAAAATCAGATTGTAGAAAGAATGTAGGCAAACAAAGTTCCTTCTAATTGCTTGTAATCGATCTCATTTCTTTCTGACTTGTGCAAAACCCTTGAGCACCATAAATGTCAAAATACTTCCCTCCATTTCTAAATAAAACCTGCATTTTTCATCTTTTCTTGTTCTGTTCATTGTAATTAAGGCTGATCAAAAATAAAAACAAAGTTCAGTAAAATAAATATCAGACATCCCAAACTAACTTAATTTCCCTCAGTAAGGCTGAAGCAATATCGTACATGGTAGTGCTATTATATACATTGCATATATCAGAAGACATTAAATTGGGGTTTATTTTCCCTCTAGAGAGTTTTAAGATAATGCAGTATAGTAGACACATGCAGAGGCGCACACACTGCCTTAGACGAACTCTGGAACTTAATTACTTGAATTCAAGCCCTGTTCTCCATCAGTGATTAACTATGTGAACTTGACAATTAGCTTGATTTGATTGTGTCTCAGTTTTCTGTACTGAGGGAATAAAAATAATGCACCTACCGCTGTAGTCTGGTGTTGGTATCCCTGCATCCCTAATTCATTTAAGGAGCCTGGTACTGAAGGTGATAAGAAGGAGATGGAGATGGAGCCTCTGGGAAGTGGTTAAATCATGAGGGCGCTAACCTCGGGGATGGGATTAGTGCATGCCCTTATAATAAAAGTTTCAGACAAGACCCCTTCCCATTCTTCAACAAAGGGAGGACATACAGAAGACTCTGTCTTTGAAACACAGAAAACCATCCTCAGATATATTATATTGTCTAGCAGTCCAATATTTAAAATATTTCAGTCTGCTTTCACTGTTCCTTTTCAACATCTTAATAAAGCAAAACTTACAAAAAGACCAGAAATGTAAGTGGTATCGAAATGGGAAAAAGCTGTGTTTGAAGTGAGATGCACAATTCTGTAGAAAATCTGAAGGAGTCAACAAAATACCTCCTAGAACCAAAGATCATTATGGCACAACAGTAGCATTCAAGAATACCCTCCAGGCTGGGCGTAGGTGGCACACACCTTTAATCCCAGCACTTGGGAGGCAGAGGCAGGTGGATCTCTGTTGAGTTCGAGGCCAACCTGGTCTACAGAGCGAGTTCCAGGACAGCCTCCAAAACAATACAGAGAAACCTTGTCTCAAAAAAAAAAAAAAAAAAAGAAAAGAAAAGAAAAAAGAATGCCCTCCAGGCATCTTTTCTCTTATTTCATCCAGACCCTCAGCCTGCAGATACTGCTCAAAGGTAAAGTGAGTCTTCTACTTTAGTTAATCTTTGTACTATAGATCACACTTTATTAACTTGATATTCCAGTACATGTCCTTAAACTATAGCAATCTACCACTTGTCCACAAAAGACTGGTCTTCATCTCCTAATGTAAAATCCATCCTGTTTTGATTCCTCATACTTCTGAGAGGTTTAATAACAACAAAAATTCATGTCCAGAATTTTCTCTGAGACTTCAGGGCAACTCTTCACTTGTAATCCCCTATAAAGTTATTCACAGGACCAGCCAGATGTGTTCAGCTGGTAAAGACCCTTACTACCAAGCCCGGTGGCCTGAGATCAACCTCTAGAACCTACATAGTAGAACTAGAGAACTGAGCCCTTCATGTTGTCCTCTGGGTTCCACATGTCATGGCACACATGGGTACCACCTCAAACACAAAACTAAATGACTGATGATTGATTAAAGCTCAGGCATGCATTCCCAGTCCAAAAGGGAGAAATAGAGTAGCCATGGAGGATCAGAGCATAGCAAACCGAAACTCAGTAGGAGAGATGCTGAGGTCCTTTGTCTCCTTGAGAAGCATCTGGGGAACACTTAATATGCTGCAAGCCTCAGGGACCGGACTTGTTTTCACCACTGTGACCTTGCCTTCTCATCCCACATGATCACACACTTTGGCTGGCTCTGCTCACCGTACTGTAAACCCTTACCATGTTCCTGTAAGTAACCCCAGCAAAACTCATTGCTTTACCAAGTTAGACTATGTTGGTGTCTATATTTTCACCTTCAATTTCTTATCTGCAGGGTGTAAACATTTGTCTTTATCTCCCACAGAGAGTGTCCTACACAATATTCCACCGAAAGAATTAGTCCTTTACTTTTCAGTTCAACTTCACTCAAAATCTGAACATGGACGCATGTAAAGAAATTCTTTGACAGCATGGAGCATGAATGGACTATATAGTTACACCCTCAAGAGCCCTCATTTCCATCTGAAACCTCATAGCCACATTGTTTACTGTCCACATATCTGTCACCATTCTCTTCTGCTCTGTGAACAGAATCATATTAAGCTCTGCTTTTATAGTCCTAGGCTTTCTCTTCTGTGTTTTTTTTTCCCCACCATCTTCTAAATTCTTTGTGCAACCAGCCTGAGATGCACAGGTTTAATTACAACAGTGACCCCACTTCACTGGTATCAGTTTTCTGTATGAATTACTTTTTGTGTCACTGTGACCAAAATGCCAGAAAAAAAAAACAGGAAGAGAAATTACTTATTGTGGTTCACAGTGTCATGGAAGTGTCAGCATGCAGATAGGCTTATATTATGATAGACCAGAATTACACAGGGAATACAGGAATAGATCAGGGAAGACCCAACTCCCAAACAGACACAGATAGACTCATTCCTGAATTAGGGTTCATTTTCTACTTTCCTTTCTTACTACTGATAAAGGTGTTATTCTTGTCAGCAAGTTGCTGTCTCATGATCCCTTTGTCTTTGGAGATGTCCTCACAGACATGCTCAAATGTCCTTTCCTGATCCCCTAGTCATTTACTAATCCAATCAAGTTGGCAATCGAAATTAACCATCACAATGTGAAATAAGTAATAGAGGACAAATCTGCTTGTCTCTCAATTTCAGAGTTTCTGTCCCCAATAGCAGAGAAGGTATGATGAAACAGATTGGCTCCCATGGTGGTAGCCAGAAAGCCATAAGAGAACACCTGTGCTCACTGAATTTCTCCATATTTTCCCCTGTGGCTCCAGCCAGGACTCCAGCCTATGAATCATACTGCCCACATTCAAGGTAGGTCTTGCCTACTTAGTCAATCCTCTCATAATGAAATGCAATGTGTTCTCATCTTGATGCTTACAAAGACAAAGCAACCATAGCCAATAAATAACAAAAGAGTGAAGAAATATTGATTGCAGATTGTGGAACATGAGCATGATCTCCAAAGCAATGCTCCCTTGAATAGAAGTGTGGTGGTTTTATTTGAGAAGACTCCAATTCATATAGGAGCACATATTAGGGTCATACACATTCCAGAGCATTCTCAGTGATGGAATATACTCATAAGCATCATGAATTTG